ACTTTACGATCGTCGATCGTGCTCGTTTATCTTTCGTGGAGGTCCAGATCTTTTTTTATTTTGAACAGTTTTTCGTGATCCAACTCTGTTGATGATACTTTGAACAGTAGACCTTGGACTACTCACTGTGTCAGCAATTTCGCTAAACGATTTGCACCGATTGTGCAACCGAATAATAATTTTCCGCTCTTCTTTCGCTGTTTCGGAACCTTTACGACCCATGTCGAGAAGCAGTTGAAATTTCTGTCTCGATTCTATAAATATTCTATGCAAACTGACAAGCTTTCCTGCTATTCGTTATACTCGAAAAATCATATTGTGTTTAATCTCCATTAACCCCTTAACATATGACAACTTTTCAGACTCGTGGCAGAGATTCTGGCGAAGATGTGAGAAAAACAGTTATATTAGCAAGAAAAATTAATTGTAATCCTAATTTTCGTTTGAATTTGTAAGACTGAGGATTACTAAATCTAATTAATCTGTGACAGATTAGTTTTCGTTACCTGATACAGTACTAAAACAGAAAATGGTTGACGCTTAGGTGCATAGTAAGAAAAGAAATCATAGTTTAAGGGGTTACGTACAAGAAATAAGAAATGTACGAATACTTTCTATGCGACTATTTTTGCATGTTTGTCTGTTTTTATTGATATTTTTGTAAACGTTAAAGGGAGTAAGGATTTTGTTTACACATCAAAGAATATTTATTAATCATTTTTCCCCGTTAAAACATTTACTACTGACATGGATATGCAAAGTTCTATTTTAAATTGGTCGCTGTACGAATGCTTTCCACACCGACTGTATGTATATATGTAGTAACATACCATCGCCCGTCTTAAGAAGGAGAATTCTGTTTCGAGGATATGTAACACAAGCGTCTTTCTCCCACTCCGCTTTAACACCTTGACTGCCACGCCAGATTTACATGTTTTGCTCAGGGGGCCAGAAGAAAATTTTCATTATCATAAGCATTGGAATCCGGATAATAATAATATATTTCGGACGTTTTCAACCTGTACTTCCGTATACAACCTACTTCTTCGTGAAGTACAGAAATAGACAAGTCGTTTTGTCGCCAGGATAGGAAAAGAAATCTTCTCCGCTGATTTGAGGAGTCTTTTATATTATAGTTATTTGGTGGGGAGAGTGTTGCTGTGGTTCTTAGTTCTAGGATGACTAAATATGACTAAATCTACTCTTTGAATTTAACCCTTATGTCAGTAACCGGGTACCCTTTTGCATAATTCTCACTCAAAATATTTGATCTTCCAGGTAAAAGATTGAAATATCCGGCCAGATCGTTGTTATTTCGCACATTTCCTATCCGTGTTTGTCTCAAGTTTAGAAAAACTACTAAAATTGGACGATAAAGTAGACGACAATTCTGGTTATTGACATAAGGGTTAAAGAGAAAAAAGTACAACTAAGATGATTTTGGATACAGTAGCTCGGACGTGTTATCAGTGCATGAATCACTAAGTTGGTTATCCAACAACTATATAGCCAATATTCTCGTATCAACCCCCTTTGTATGATTTTATTTATTTTTGTATGCAAAGGGGTTAATCTACCCGTGTATTTAAATAAATAAATAAAATAAAGAATAGGTGTAACTGCAAATTAAACAGTATTCTAAAGCTTAACATTGGTCGAACGTTGGTATAAATATTTTTCATACGTCTGGATAAACAAATTAATATCGGTAAATAAGAATCTAATAATCAGAACTGCACGACTGTTGTGTACCTCGCGTCGGTTTGCGGTGTATTGGAAGAAATCATAGGGCAAGGGGTTAACAAGTTCGTTACTATCGTTATATTGAAGTATCGCTGATATCCCTTGTATTATTTCTTCTTATATGTTTAATATTTACATTCCAGCAGTTTTGCTTAATACAACGCACATGTGTACTTATGCTGCATGTAATATTTTACTTAAAATACAAATTTTTAAACTTAATGAACACTAAAACTACCGACCGGGCCAAAATGACCCATTAGCGACTTTCCAAAAGTGAATTTTTATGTAAGTAAACCGCGATTGGAAAATTCGATTCATACCGATGGAAGCATACATGTAGAATATAAATTCGGAAAGTTACAAACGATAATACTTACCAGTATAGAACATTCACGTTTTTTCGAAAGATGCTAATGGGTCATTTTGACCCGGTCGGTAATTTTAGTGTTAAAAGTCAAAAAAGTGTTTTTCTCTTATAATGTTATTAAAATGAAGTACGATAATAGCCATTTTTGTGACATCAGAATTTAGGTAGAAGATAAGGGCCATGTAAACAGGATCTTTGTTATTTTTTTTTTAATCTGTCTACAACCTACCATTTCTATAATATTCTGTAAAAATGATTTCAAAGTTAATGGTAAATTCTTGTTTTAAAATCGTAAAATGTATGTAGACTTTTGAAAATAAATTCTACTGCTGTTCAAGTGAAACTTTTAAATGTCATTTTGACCACTATTTTCATCTCATAAGGTCATATAATATTAATAACGAGTGATCAAGGTAATACTTACCATCAATTGGTACAAATAAAAAGGCATTAATTAAAGCTAGAGGAAAATATACTTTTCTTTTAGATCTTCTTGTAATATTATGTAATAATATGTGTTATTTAAGTTGCTATAATAAGGGGGACCAAATTATTGATACTGATATCTTTTTATTTTATTTTATTTGTTTCTTTACATATGTAATTTAACTGTAGCAACAGAACAGTGTTAAATACCGATTTCACCAATTTTTGAAATCAGTTTAAGAAACTGGAGTGATTTTTAAGATCTCTTTGTAACCTTTTCTTATTGAACCATCTGTAACATTATCTTATTTTTCCTAAATTTTTCAGTTTGTAACGAATAAACAACAATTATGGTGAAAGCGAGTGATCTTAAAATGTGCGTGTGTGGCAATCCGAAAAATGTGGAAGCGAGTGAGATGGAAGTGTGATGTTAGAAGCGAAGTAGCACATGCAAATCACGCGTGCGTAAGGCGGTTCTTAATCGGCGACAAAAATAAATTCTACTAAATATTCGCAGTGTGACAACTTTGACGATAAACTGCGGTTCGTCTTAATCAAAACTTCCCGCGGTTTTACGACGATCCTTTTGAAAAAACATAACTCCGCTGAAATTAAATATTACTATTTAAAATAATTTTCGTAATGTTCAATACACTTTTGCGAACGTATTACAAGAGCATTAATTCCGTGTACGTAAAACTCCGCACCTCTAAGAGAAAGAAATACGCAAACAAATCTCCCCAATCCGAACCTAGTTTACACCTGAAAAAATTCATGCTCACAGTTTGGTGGTCTACTTCGGGATTAAGGGAGAAAACTCGGGTAACTCGTGTAAAAATAAGGTGATCTTTGTGAATTTCTCCTTCAGAAACTGTCGAACAGATCTTTTTCAAACTTTTACGATATTTTATTCAACATTTAAAAAAGTAGAAAATATTTTTTCAAATGTAAAATAATCCGGTTGTTATAAACTGTAGAGGTGTTTCTAGCGTCCGTTAAACTCACCTAAAACAAACAATTCATAGTTTTCTATTCTTTATGAAATTGCGCTCTGGATGAACCTAAATTTGCAGAAAAGATGCAAGATTGAGGAAATGGCGGCACTTTGAAGAAAAAGTTGCGATTTTGATGAACAATTTCCGTCTTAATCGTGCAATAAAATTAATTAAAATTAATAATATCGTTAAAATTGTAGGATCATCCAGAGCGGAATTGATCTATCTACATACTTGCACAAGGACAAGTCAATTGATTGAATATTTTTTCAGTTATGCTGCACGCCAATTTGAAAAAAGTCGTTTCGAAGAAAACGCTTATTAGGTATTGAAAAGTAAGAATTTTTAGAAACTTACACCTGTTTTTTATTAGTTTATTATTACAGACACATTCAGCAAACTTTCTACTTACTCGAAAAATTCTTGTTCATATTGTTGTTGCTTCAGCCTCCATAGTTCTATTTAAACTGCGGTGTTTCTCCCTTTTCAGCCGCTCCGCGTCGTAAGTGTCCGTGAGAAATTTGTATTCCTGTCCAAAAGTGAATTTTAATTACGCCATTTCATCAGCGGAGTTAACATTTCTCCTTACCGTTAAGTCGTAATAATTTGACTGTTTTTTTTATAAGGACATGTGTTAACTTACCCTTACCTCCAATTTTTTTTTTAATATTCCGAAGCCGAGTGCCCATTTGCTTTCCAACGAGAATAACACATTCACTTTTCATACTTGAAAATCGTAGCCGTAAGGATTCAAAACTAAATACATATTTTTCAGACGTATTACTATTGATTTAAGCAAAAAACCAATTTTTTTGCGACTTGTTACCTCCTTAATTCATTACAGTTTCCTAAGATCGTCTACCGCTATCACTGTGAAGTTATACAGTAAGGAATCGAAGGTAGTCGACGAAAAACTGAAGGTACAGCAACCAGCTCTGGTCAACAGAAAAGACCCTATTCTTTTGCGTATGTAGCAAGCACAACTGTACAAAAATTGTATCAACTGGACATTGAAGTTGTAGCTCGTCCTCCGTATTCCCCAGAATTATCTCCAACCGATTTTCACTTTTCCCACTCACTTGACAATTTCCTTGCGCAAAAACCGTTTAGGAAACAGAAAGATACTGAAGACGCCATTCAGCAGTTTCTTTCTCTTCGGGATTCGAATTTCTATATACGCGGAATCGATGCTCTTGTAGTAAGTTGGCAAAAGTTTATCGAACATTGTGGGAATCATTTGAAATAAAGATGTTCAACTTAAGCATAGTTATGCTTTTTCTTTCAAAATGAACGGTTTAAAACCGCGGGAACTTTCAGGACGACCTAATATTTCTCGTAAAAATTTCGAACTGGAAAACTATACCGCTGAATTATCAACGTGCAAAGATCTTTTCTCCGTGTCCGAGTTCTCTTTAAGTGTTGATACAGCTGAGAAGAAAATTGAAGTCGTTGCATCATTTTTCCAGGCGCTGGCGTCAAGATGGAGCACTTTCAGGCCACCCTGGACCCAAGGAAGCAAGAGTTATTGGAGGCTCGCTTTCTCGGAGCAAGGGTGAGCTACATTTTCCGTGTCCGCTTTTTTTTTTCTCTCCTTTCATTTCTTTTTCCTGTTTTATTTCCCTGTTTTCCGCATTTCTATCTTTACGCATGTATAGCTTGTTGTGTCAGTTCTTTCGCATGCTTAAGAAGCAATATCACAATTCAGTTACATAAGATGCAAGTAAGAAAAAGTGGCATAATTAGTAGGAATGTCTTCGGACTTACATGCGCAATGGAAGAACATTCGTACTATAAAAATTAGTGTACAGAGTGTCCCACGTGACTGGAACAAGTTGTATTTTTGATACAGATGGAAATAGAAGAAGATAGATAGGCAAATTTAAATGGTGTTAGACTTAACACGTGTCCCTCCATTTTTTGCCCTTCAATCCTGTTATTTTTAATGGAATTTAAAATTTAAAAATTATGAAAAAGCATTGAAGTACACTTAGATTCTAAAACGATTAATTTGAAAGTTATTTTGAATTTAGATTCACTTCAAACAGTATTCGTAGAATAGAAGTAACTTTTAAATTAATAGTTTTAGAACGTAGATGCTTCACTACTTTCTGTTATATGTGAAAAACTACATCGAACAGTGCACTCAGAAATATGAAGTTTTACAAAAAAGAAAAGGTGCAATTACAGTTTTCAAATGCACGAATGAGCGGAGAAATATGTTAAAAGTAACGTAGAGGTCTGCAGCGTCTAATACTATTTAACTTCGCCTCGCTGTATTTTTTTCTATCTTCATCCGTAGATACAACTTGTCCCAATTGCGTGGGACACACAGGGTACAGTCGGGCATGGGGTGATCTTGCATGTAGAAATAAACCGAAAATAAAGAACAAAATTTGTTTGTAAGAAGCTTAGTCTTCGAGACAATTATATTTAAAGATTCGTCTATCGTGTAATGACAAGTACTGATAATGTACTGGTATCATTTTCGAACGTATTGTTGAATGTGACATTGTTGTTGACGCGTAAAAATTCTTGCGCCACGAATCAGAGAGCCGTGTACTGATACCGCGAGTCTTTTGACTCGTTACTTGTTCAAAAACTTTGAACTGCAGAAGATTTACACTATATGTCTTCGCGAAGTATGATATTACCGCTGTTTATCAACATTAAAGTGCGACCAGAAGCAACAGTTTGCAGTGGACCTTTAAATTCAATTTTCTCGAGAAGTAAGCTTCTTGTGACACAATTGTATTCTTTATTTTCGATTTATTTTTACGTGTACAATTACCCCCATGCCCTGTCCTTCACCTTGTATACACAAAGTGTATTTCAGTTAGGTACGATATTGGATAAAAATGGTTCGGTGAAATATTACAAATACACTGCCGTGCATAAGTATTTGGACACTTTTATATTATTCGAAATGCAGGAAATATACTTTAAATAAAACTCTCTAATATATTATAGTTTTTGCTTACGATCTTATCCCAGGCGACTGTATAATGTTTATAAATACCAATGAAAATAACATTTGACAAGAATTAGTATAGGGGGAGTTCCCCTAGCGCCGGATGCTTAAGGTTTTTCTTAAATAAATCTCTCTACCTGTGCACACGCGACTGAAACATGCAGATAACTTATTTTGTCTCCTCTAGGAGATACGCAGAATAACGACGCGGTAGCGTTTCAATTATTGCAGATATAACTGATGTCCGATATTAGGTGCCGTCCGGCGTTAAGGGAACTCCCCCTGAATGAAAAAGCAATGACCGAAATCGGTTGAAAATTGATCTTGCGGAGACACTTGAGTTCATCGACTTGAAGTATTTGTGGGAAACCTAATGAAAAATTATTACCCAAACATGGAGGTGGTAATGTAATGACTCGGGGATGCTTTGGTGCAAATAAAGTGGGCAATTTAGTAAAAATAGATGGAATTCTGCGAAAAGAACAATATTTAACGAACGCAATATTTAATAATTTTCATTTATTTATTGGTAAGTTTGGAATATACTACATTCTAGATCTTCTACACCTCAACGACATTCATTGTTGCTAATTATAGGTAGAAATATTGCAATGTAATAAAAACATAGGAACCTTTTAATTAGATCGCATCGAGTGTCCAAATACTTATGCACGGTAGTGTACGTGCGATTGAAAAGGCATTGTAAATGTTTCACTTAACGAAGAGAAGTAGTACAATGTATAGCTTAAATCGGTATATCTGCGGTAATGTCAGATGGCTGCTCGGTTATTTTAGTATCTTACAGTGAGGAAAAAAAAGTAATTGTCACGGCTTTGGGGAGGTGAATCTACGCCACTTGATCGATGGACATTTGTCAAACTTTAATCGTCGTTTGTGTTACACGGGCGCGCACACCATTATATACTATACTACTGTCCGTTCAAAATAAGAATAACCTCGTTTCGCGCATGGGACGTGCCTAAGGCAGGGCTAGAACCATTAGAACGTCCAAACCCCCCACTTAACCGCCTACGTTTTTCTCCGTCTTACCCTCTACGCCTGTGTCTATGCGCAGAACGGACGAAAATCGGTCCGAGAGCGAGGCTATTCTTATTTTGAACGAAGTGTATACGTACAACTACACAATCGAAAGTTTATCCCGAAAGGTATTTGTTCGCGACATATAGCTCCTTTCAAAATTTCTTTTCTTGTCGAATAGAATACGTTGATGTAAACAAACAAAAAATTTAATATTAATTTTGATTATTACAAACAGTTTGGCGGTAACTTTTGTTTACAAATGTCCACCGATTCAGGGGTGTAGACTCACCCTCGAAAGCCACGACGATTCCTTTTTTTTACACCCTGTACACAGTTCCGCAAAATGATTTCTCGGTTTTAAAGGGTAAACGAAAAAGGCGTCGTAGATATTATTCGAACTTATATAGCCAGAAAGAGCAATGTTTATCATTTTGTTTCCTCAACCAAGCACTGCCTTATCACTTTGTTTAAAAAATTACATCGTCCAAATGCTTGCCGTCACGTACACATTCTCGAAGCCTCGCCACGAAGCGAGCTTTTCACCTCTTTCAAAGCTGAACTTGTGGACTTCAGCATGGTGATAAGACAGTGGTTGGTTGAGGAAGTGGTAAAACTGCTCTTTCTGCTCGTACAATGAAAATTTAAATAGTATCTGTGTAATACCTTCTTCATTTACCTTTCAAAGTCGGGAGATTATTTTACCGGATTTTGTATATGTTTATTAAGAAAAAAGTGAAGATACAGACAATGATTTCACGAGGCATATAACGTGACGAAAGCAGTTCTATTGTAGATGGAAAGGTTAAACAGATTTCGGTATTAACTTCGTGCTTTTTTATGAAAAGGTTTCTTTTTACGATAAATCACAATAGAACGGTGAATTGTGTTCAAAATAAAAGATAAATATTAATGTATACAGTGTATTCATTTTAACTGGAATCGGTGGAATATCTCGTAAAGAATTGAAAGTGTCAAAAGTTTGATTTTTTGATACAGTGGAGGACATTGTGTAGTACAAATAGTTTTTCCCAGGTAAACTTGTTAAACCATCACTTGAGCTTGTCTAAATAAGCACTGTCACGTTACAAATAAACGAACATAACTGCAGAAAAACTATTTCTACCTACCACATTATAATTTACCTCTCCACGTTGAACAATCTGTTGATATCTTCTATTCCTTGAGACCTATTTCACCGTTTCAAGTTTAACCCCTTAACCTATGATTTCTTTTCTGACTCTGCATCTAAGCGTCAGCCATTTAGTGTTTTGTTACTGTATCAGGTAACAAAAGCTAATCTGTTACAGATTAATTGCATTTAGTAATCCTCAGTGTTACAAATTCAAACGAAAGTTAGGATTATAACGAATATTTTTTATTAATATAACTATTTTTGGTCATGTCTCGACTAGAATCGATGTCGCGAGTCTGACACGTTGTCATATGTTAAGGGGTTAAACAGACATCCTATACAGTTGGTAAGAAAAATATTTGGACACCGGTATAATTTCACTTTTATGTTCTGTATTTTAACCCTTATGTCAATAACCGGGTACCCTTTTGCATAATTCTCACTTAAAATATTTGATCTTCCAGGTAAAAGATTGAAATATCCGGCCAGATCGTTGTTATTTCGCACATTTCCTATCCGTGTTTGCCTCAAGTTTAGAATTTTCTTATGAGAAAACTACTAAAATTGGACGATTCTGGTAATTGGCATAAGGGTTAAGCAGACATACAATGCAGAAAAATATGCATAACGTTATGTTACAGTCTAGTTTTTTGGCGTTGATCAGAGCTTGTTGCTATACCTTCAGATTTCTTATGGACGACCTCCAATTCGTTACTATACGACTGTACAATGATAGGTGGTCTTAGGAAACTGTAATGAACTAATTTCAAAGTAGACCACCAAACTGCGAGCATGATTTTTTTTCCGGTGCGAACTAGGTTTGGATTTCGTTCCCTTAGAGATTCGGATTTTTATGTACACGGAATGAATGCTCTTGTAATACGTTGGCGAAATTGTATCGAACATTATGGAAAGTATTTTCAGTAAAAATGTTTCTTTTCAGTGGAGGAACGTTTTTTTTTTTTTTTTTTTTAAATGAACGACTTAAAACCGCGGAAGTATTCAGGATGGCCTAATATTTATAATGTCCGATATTATACTGTTACTTATTTTTAAGGGACCTGCGATTTCGCGAAATGTTTTTCCCTTTTTCCGATGGAAAGTTACTAAATGTCGCGTATCGAAAGACGTAGTTATTTCTATTTTTACGTCACGTTTCGTATGAATTCAAAATACGACTAACTAGTACTCGATTGTTGATATTCTATGTACCTGACGTGAGTTTACAAACGTTATTGCTATGTCTTTCTAGGAATTGGAAAACTGGAATATTTTCGTGACACAAGATTTAGCTATTCTTCCGTTTTTCTTCTATTATTTCAACAACATTATGTGACAAATAAAGAATGTTCGTATTTTCGTTATCTAGAAGCTGTATTATAGCATAGCGTAATACATTTTTTCTTATTCG